GCGTACGTGTGTGGCTTACGAAATTCAGCTGCTTTTTTGGTGTCTGGTGTCTTATTGAGTTTCTTTTAGAAGAACTAATATCTGGCTAGATAGATTTCAATTTTATTCCTGTTTATTAATAAAACAAGATAACTGGCATACAATAGTCCTGAAACGTTCATTTTTAATAAGTTGACAACCCGCACTAATTGATTCTACGGATGTCGTTGGCTTGCGAGAGTGAAATGACTCTTTTCAATGTAATAAAACCCGTACCGAAGTTTCAAACACTTAAATCTTGTATTTTAAGGGCGTAAATGCTCTTGCACAAGCTTATAACAAAAGCCGCGGCTCTGGGTGTGTTGGTTTGTGTGAAGAGCACTACCTCGTAATACGATCAGCAGAAAAAATTACTCGAGACCACGCTTATAACTAAGATGGCTGACTCAGACTATTACTCTGTACGACACTAGACAACGTGACAGGCGCTTTACTCTCGTGGACAAATAAAGATATCAGATCGTGCCATAATGTGGCTACATACTTTGTGTAAGCCACACAAAAATCCCGAAAATGGTCAATGAACCTCTCTAAAAATTTTGAAATTTTCTTTGAAAATTCCGATTAATTGAAAAAATATTTTCGAAATAGTCACATAATTTGCATTAAATATAGGATTCCTGTGGTGGAAGCAGCTTCGAACTGATTCAAAATCATTATTTTTTGAGACAATGAGAGTGGTTCGTCAGCTTCGTATCCTTAAACAAACAATAACAACAGTAAACAGTCAGTAGAGCATGACATTTTCATGGAACTCGCTTGGAAACGGCAGAAGAAGAACCATTATCGTCTAAAAATCCTTAAATTTCTAAACATCCCGTCTGACCCTAAAGCTCCTAAAATATCCAGATGGTTGTTACATGTACTAACCCTATCCATCAGGGGGATTTTAAATTCTATGAGCTGGGAAAATTTCCGCAACCACGGATCAAGAATTAAGGTCAAGTCATAGTGGCTTTTTGAAGGTCTTTCATAGATCTGTCGACGTCGCCTCAGTGGGATCATTTACCATATTTCAAGCACGGCCCCAAATAGAACCTTCACCATCCATTAGAGAACTACCGAGAGCTTCAGTGAAAATATGCATCTGGAGCTCTGACTAATTTCTGGCTAAATTTATGAGAATTTCCCTTTCGAAGTTTTATTTGCTCATAATTTCTTCCCTGCAGTAAAATGACAGAGGATGCGATTGGATAAAAGATAGCACAGAAACTATTTGCTTTATGAGCCGTTCAGTATCTTTGCTTAATTTGACCCAATGGTGTCGTACCCATCTAAAGTATCCCCTCAACGGTGAAAGACGTTAAAATCACCCTCTTATAATTAGGACTCGTGGCTTAAAATCATGCCTGTTGCAACAGCATAACATGCCAAACTTTTAACATTTGTGTTTTAACGATCAGCAACTCACAAACGTCCCGATTACTTCCATTTTAAACACTGAATAACAATCTGCTTATCAAGATCCCCTCCTGTGATTAAGTAATGATAAAAAAAAAACACATAATGGGTAGGGGGGGAGAGCGGCAAAAGGATATCAGTCAAAGAAGACGATGATGATAAAGCACTATATTACGAGGGGCGTTGAATGTTAAAATCACCAGAGGTGAACAAAGTAGTGGTTGAGTAATTTGAAAGGACGAAAGGATCTGGTGCGGGGAAGCTGGCTAGCTCTCTTAGGGACAATCTTTTTAGAGTAAGTCGAGCTAAAACCATGAGAAAGGAAATTGTTGCGCACTTAGAAAGTAATCCGTGCGAAAGCGATGACCTCCCTCTTTTGGAGCATTTGGTATATGACGAGTTCGCCCGCAGGGACGACCATTTAACTCATATTACGCGAGATGGGAAGTATAGGGATCAGATGACAATGCATGCAGCAGCAAACTTGTAGAACATCGACGTCTAAATAGTGTCCTCTCTAGGAGTTGGTGGGCAGCATGTGTTCAGTCCGTCGGCAATTATTTCAGCAGCTACCGTGCTCCTTGGACATTTTGCTAAGGACCATGGCGAATAGTATGCGAGCTTGGAACAAGTTACGGATCACAACGACGGCAGTGAAGATGACTGCGAAGCAAATGACCTCGGAGAAGGAGGCATTTCCGAGAATTATGCAAATAAAGTGCATACAGAGCAGGATTCGTATGAAAATGTCAGAGGTTTCAATGAAGAGAATTTTCCGAAAGGAGACTTTACAGAGTACCTATTTTCTCATGGTAAGGATATGTAAAGTATCGCTAATCGCCTAAAATGGCGAGCGACTTCCTTTTCCTCACGATTAAGTATAGTCTGAAACATCGTACTTAACATTCTGCTTTGACTCTGAGCGTCATACCATCTCAGTTGAATGACACACCCTTTCATTTTATAAAGAAGTACTATTTCTATTCATCATGCGAAACCCGTCGGTTATTTGTGGGCGATCGTCTTCGCATATGTTTTTGTCAAAACGAGGAACGAACTTATCAGGATGCATGAAGGGCGCAAGCTCCCTAATATTTTCTGATATTAATTTTCTACTTTTTTGCAAACGACCATATCTTCAGAAGTACCATAGCTGGGCAAGGGAAGTCATCATATCTCATTGTTGGAGGTGTTGTCTCCACAAATCTATTCATTTCCTCTGATCTTCGAATCATCCTCTCAATTTTTTTAATTGCCGAAATGGTTGTTTTTATCTTAGAAGCAGTTCATCCTATTCTTTCGGAGTAAACGGTGTTCATCGCCTTGTCCTCTCACAGGGCTTTACCCAAAACTGCATCATTGTCAGAGCTTTCTCGTTCCACGAACAGGAACTTAATCGCTTACTCGGCGAATAAATCATAACTATATCTGTGAAAAGAAAATTATAGGCTTAGCTGAAAGTTAGCAGGCGATGTGCGCACTCCGACTGTATTGCATTGTGGTAGCGTTATTTTCAACATGGTGATAAAAGCGACAGAAATCGGCTGATTTTGAGTGGACATTCCGTAAAAGTGAGGTCGTTTCTTTTTCTTTTCACTATAGGCAAATGTAATTTGGTATATTCTGAATGTGTAGAAGTATTTTTTGTCCGTATTTATCGCGTATTCTGTCGTTCTCAAGGACAAACGCTAGTATTGTTTTTTAGCATGTAATTTGAGACCGGTTTTCGAGAAGATCAAATTCGTCGTACGTCGTAGTTTGATGACTTTTAAAGACTTGTATGGCCACTTTGATTCGTCTTCAACAGCTCTGACCAAACCCTCTCAAACGCTCTCCAACTGTACAAATGTTTTATGCATTTTAAGTGACAGTGTTTGAGACCTGTCAATGGCAGTGGAAAGGCCCATTGTTGCGTTTAGTGTGTTGCGTTACATAGCGCCACTACTGTAAGGACATTTACGATATAAACTCGGTCGTGTTGTAAATCGTCTTTCCTAACTGAATGCAAATTGATTAATCGCGAGTGTTGTATGGTAAATCTTCTATCTTGATCATTGAATGAAGGACAGTTTAATTTGAATAATGAAAAGAGTCACTTGACCCATGAAAACCTCTACCTTGCGTGAGGCGACACGCCAGCTAGCTGGAAAGCAAAAGCCATCAACTGCTGAAAGGTGTTGATAGGACTGTGAGTCTCTTCCCATTCGCTAGCGCTTTTAAATCTTCTACCCTTAAAGTTTAGCTCTTATCAGTGTTAATTATGAAAGACGTTAATTTGGTGAACTGAATTAACTAAAATATATTGAACTGAACTGACTCAAAATATATCGATAGTGCCTCCTGCTTTTGGGTTATAATTGAATGTTTTTTTTTTACTTTTAATTCGATCTTGATTATGAAGATTTACTGATGTGCATTTCTCGATTGTCACATTTACAGTTCCTCCAGAGATTCGTTCTCGTGGTCCTCTAGCTTTAGAAGCTTACAACAATGCCTTGGCCGAAGGTCAAACTTGTGTAAAGAGAGTGCCGTTGATGATTGTTGGACAAGATGGGTCAGGTAAGACTAGCCCGAAGAAGTCCTTGAAATGGATTTGTTTCAACCCAAATGAGGATAGCACCGTGGGCATTGATGTCGATAACTACCATTTAAAAGTTACGACCGAAATATGGATGACAGGAAAAAAGGATCAAGACGAGATAGTCGATAAGAATTTAATTTCGTTGAGAATAACGCAGCTCGATGGATTGCAGATAAATTGATGGCGGAAGAAAACGTTGCTGATGTCACAGGAACAGGTATTACTATGTCAGAACATTATGACGACTTTGAAAAAACTGACACCTTGGAGGGAAGATACACCCGCGAGACAACAAGTTTACACGGACCCATTGGAGTCACCTACAAATCCAGCATACGCTCATCCTTCATACAGTCAGCCTCCTTTAATGAATAAAGAAGAACATGATTAAACTCCAACAAAGTTTGAGGAAGATGTACTCAACAGCCCCTGAAGAAAGGTGCCGGAATTTGAAGACATTTCCGAGTTAATTCAACAGATCCTTCAAGATGATTTGGAAGACGATAGAGAGGACATTCACCAAATCTTTCTTACCAGAAGAGCAATCTACTTTTTGGTCTATGATTTAAGTAGAAATCCAAGCGACAAAGCCATACCCCTGGTGAAACAAGGAGTTTATAGAGAAATTGAAGATAAATACAATCTAAAAACGAATTTTGATCACCAAGAGTTTTGGATAGGATCCTTGGTTTCCTTGGTGGAACAGATTAATCACCCGCATGTGAGCACCGAATAGGAGGTGCTTTCAAAGAAGCTTCCAGCTGCTTTCCTGGTGTGCACTCATGCTGACGAACCATATTGTAACCGTAATCCTTTGGCACTAGCCAGAGAAACATTTGGCGATTTAAGAGGCAAGCCATATGGAGCCCAGTTGTTTGACGTGCTTTGTGTTGATAACAGTAAGTCAGGCACTAAATCCGAATGTGTAGAGAT